TCATTTCTTAGGGAACTATGTCGATTCCTCAATACAGCCACAACGAGAACTTCATTTCTTAGGGAACTATGTTGGTTCCTCAATACAGCCACAACGAGAACTTCATTTCTTAGGGAACTATGTTGGTTCCTCAATACAGCCACAACGAGAACTTCATTACTTAGGGAACTATGTTGATTCCTCAATACAGCCACAACGAGAACTTCATTTCTTAGGGAACTATGTTGGCTCCTAAATACAGCCACAACGAGAACTTCATTTATTAGGGAACATTGTTGGTTTTACAGCCACAACGAGAACTTCATTTATTAGGAACAGGAGCTTACTATTCATATTGCAGGACTAGTACAACTTGAACTTTAGTATAATTGTTTATAGTTATTTAACAGTAAAGCTACTTTATATTTTTGATCCTATGTTACACATATAACCTGCTAGAATTCATAAATGTCTGATTGTGTGACGTATAGTGAAATATATATATTAAAATAGTTGTACCAAATTTGTTAGAGTCGGTCGCAAATAAACATACTATGATTACATACCAGTTTTTCTTCCTTTCATTTCTAAGCTTAACTACATGCGTATAGTGTTTTTTTTGAAAATGAAAGCAAAAAGTAAGTAACTTTTGACTTTTCCTAATTTTTATGATTGGTTTTACGATACTTTTATTAAGGAAAACAGGTTATATGTTGGTGTTTTTTTTTACACGTGTTGTTCTTTCGATGAGTAAATGGAGAGTTCATGGGTGTGGAAATATCAAGCGATCTCATCTTTCAAAAAAGCCTGGCAGTTTATAACTTTCTCAGTTTCGAAGACAAAGAGCCACTAATTCGTTCTCATACAATCTCAGTACTTGTGTGTGATATCCAAAATGAGTTGTCTTCTTAAACAAACTACTTCACACTATACGGTTGTTATTTTTGGTACTTAAAAAAATCCCGATAGATGTAATATGTTCGTAGGTAAAAAAAAAATATGAATTAGAAAATTAAATGCATATATAATTATTTATATAATGTTAACTAAGTTCCAAATACAAGCTGGCATGTACATGTTCTTATTTTTGTGTTTACAGTTTAACTCTCTGTTCCGATATACGTAACATTAATCCCAAACATGTCATGGAAGTTCATACTACGAGTTTTCTTTCCTTTTTTTTTAAAGAAGTAATTCATTATCCAGAAAATGTGATTGAAGCCACCATTCTAAAATAGTAATATTTACGTATATCTGAAACAAAGAACGCGAATAACCCGTTCTGAAATAAGCAGGCAAGTTGTAACCAACAGCCCATGTACTTCCAGACGCCATGAACTGAGTCTCAAGACGCGCCAAGAGTGGCGGTACTTACTGCCCAAGGCCGCGCTACACGCTAAAGCCAAGGTCCACCTACGCGATGAATCTAATCTATATCTGACATATGACGTAACAAAAATGTAACATTGATTACGACCACACATGATTTTGAGGTTAGCAAAGCTTATATTAAAATATTTGTTATGTGAGCTTTGTTTCAATGTCTCACCTCCAAAATAAAAAAACAACAACAACAACTTATCACATAATATTTTCAGATCGTACTTTTATAACTGAAGTACAGAGTTAATTAATACATGCAATATACGTTACACTGTACAACAAATGCGGAGTACTATTATTAACCACTTATAAAATAAGATATGTATTGGACCTTGTATGAATAAGATATGACGACTTATTCAAATTGTGTTCACGCATTCCATCAACACTGTTTACACCAAAACTAATGTTCATATAACACCGATAAACTTACAGTAGGGCAAATGACTCTCGCGTTCTGCTAAAAATGAAATCTGATCAAACCTTGTAATCCATCTTCGCACGTCCTACGTGTAAATCATCGCTGTCATTTACAGGAAGCACTCCGTACTTCGTTTGAATTTTGGTATATTACTAGATACGAACGCTACTGATTCGTTCTCAGACCCACTACAAAGAAGAGCCGATTTAAGAATTATAGAGTACCTGGTAAATCAATAGATAAGCTGCTTTATTTAATTATTTAACCTTTTTCTCTTCTTCTTGTGTCTTTCTTTGTCAAGTAGTGAAAAACATATTCATTCTGTAAGACCTCTACTATACACGATATTGTGTTTTTTATCATTAGTACCTCTACTATACACGATATTGTGTTCTTTTATCATTAGTACCTCTACTATACACCATATTGTGTTATTTTATCATTAGTACCTCTACTATACACCATATTGTGTTCTTTTATCATTAGTACCTCTACTATACACCATATTGTGTTCTTTTATCATTAGTACCTCTACTATAC